AACACTTTGATTGTTTTAAAAAACCTTATGCACTGACGTGCTATAAAATGCACTGATGTGCTACGTGTTAATGGGAAAATGTTTTCCCGAATATACCACAAAAGGAAAATATCTTGTTAGATATACTATAAACCAAACACATTGAGTGTTTAAAACTCTTATGCACTGATGTGCTACTTCTGCTTTGGGAATTGATTTCCCGAATAAGTAATAAATAACTACATTATACACTTCAGGCCTGGAAATGAATATTGTGGAGAACACATACCTGGTCTCTTGTCACACAAATCTCGGTGGAACCTCCAATTCGTTTATTTCTTTTCGTCTATGACGTCGTGGATGCTTCAGTATCAACACTGGTAGTGGTGATCCATCACTTTTATTCACACAACATAACACAGATACAACATTTAATTAATACATTTAGCTGTTGACACGATCAGAGACGTTAACGAAGATGGCACTCGTCATCACTGGACGAACAAAGTTTCCACAAATCAGCTCGCTGGCGGAGCTTCCCAAACTCTCTCTGACAGGCGTCTGACCAGAAGGCTCATCTCTTTACGCATGCGTATTACTCAGTTAAGTCGTTGCCATTCACAGTTCTTTAAAATAGGTGTTAAAATGAATTACAGTACTCGTAGTGTGAGGAGTTTGCTAACGACGTTCTCTCTAGTCAAGAGCATCATAGGTCTTTCTAGTAGAGAGTTCAGAAGCGTTCTTTACAATATCTTTTAATCTGAAATAATGTTTCATGAATAAATCAACTTTTCAAATAAATAAACTTAAAAGAAACTCAATAGAGGAAAACACGCTTAATAACTGAATGGCTTTAACTGACAAACTATAAGAAGATCGAGTTAACAAACCTCAACACCATCAGGAGTATCCTGAAAAAAGAGGTAACAATTCTGAAACTGTAAATCCTATTGTTTTCACTATCCGTGACTGCAACCTCAAAAGACACAGTTAGGGACAGAGATGAGAACACGTTATGATGAAGTATTAATTTTGAAAAGAGAATGAAATCTGTTCCTATTTAAGAGGTAATCTTATTTGAGCGATGCTCCTAAGCAGAATCTACATTAAATATTTATTGCTAGTTTCTGAGTAGTGCGTACATTTCAACAAAAAGAAAAATCCCTTTTGCACTTTTCAAAATATTTTTCTTTGAAAACGTGCAAGTAGTTACTTTTACAAAAACGGGCAAAATATATAACATTTTGTAACAGTGAATTTTAGAATAGGATATCGGTTTTTAAAGCATTGATCTCTTTCAAGGGACTTTTCCAGAAATAAGCAAATGTAAGAAATTTAGCTTACTTTTCTTTCAAGTTCATAAGCATTGCATTATATTTATACGATTTAAGAAATACTACACTTATTTAAAGTTTTCTATAATTTCGCGAAGTTTGAGCGAAATCGGTGAATCTCTGTAGCATCCTGATAAAAAATTCACCCTCTAAACAAATCTCTGTAGCATCCTGATAAAGAATTCACCCTCTAAACAAATCTCTGTAGCATCCTGATAAGGAATTCACCCTCATTAATAACGAGAAATACCTAATCTAATGAGTCATAAAGGTTGCTACATGAAGTTATTATATCCAACTTTCTAAATTCAAAGGAACGCAAAATGTGCAACACATTGCGTGAGAATCAGATACATAAAAACGTTCGACATCTGGTGCTTCGTTGTTCGCATTAACTACTGTAGAAATCTTACTTTTCGGATATGCTCAAATTCTCTTACGGGTTTCTTTTGTTTTCGACCTCATAGTCTAAGAAATTCATCAACAGCTAAGTCTGAATTGCGATTTTAAGTCGTTTTTTATTTCAAGGAAATCGGCAGAGGTGTTACCACTACATTACAAATGTATGCTTATTTGTTTTATAATATTTATGCATTTATTTAATTTTTTTCTACTTATTAAATATGTTCTACTTCCTCGTCATCCAGTAACATCTGCAATGGATATTTTATGTTGTACATAGACGAAGCTAAATTGACACATGTAGAAAAGTAAACATAGCTAAGGCAGACCTTCATATACTAACAAATCCTTGTCTCGATCCTCACATTTTTCTGCGTATCACTTAAAAAAAATGATGTTATTAAAAAGTGTTATCTTCACATGTATTATTTTTGAAGAGATAATATAACGAGTATAAAAAAATTAATTGCAACACTTGACACGCTATCCGGAATTCTAAAGATATGCTATTTTTAAGTATTTGCCATTGTGCTGTTCAATTTTATGTGGCGCAAGAAAGTAGTTTTCTTAAATAAAGCTAAAAATAAAACGTTAATAATAAAAGGATAAAACAAATGTGTAAGTTATCTTATTGGGAAACTGAACATTGATATGGTGACTTGAGAAAAAGACTCAACAATGGTGTGATTAAAAAAAATCAATGCCGACACCTAACATTTTATCAAGAATTCTAAACGTACGCTGCGTTCAAAATTGTTATGATTTTGCTGTTAAATTTTACGTCGCGTAAGTGCGAAGAAAACGATGTCTAAAAACGATGAAGTTAAAAAGACAAAAAAGTCTGTTCTATCAAAGTGAATCTAAGTAAACTGCAAGTTCAGCGAGATGGCAAAAATTTTAACCAACCTTCTGGTGCGATGTTAAAATCTAAATCATCACAGATGTTGTTCTGTTATTATGCTGTTTCTTTAAAATAGGATCATCAAAGTTATTATCCGCTGCCGGATTTGACTTGTAACCATGGGTATAAACAGGTACTGAAAAGAATCGAGTGGCTTAATTTTTTTTCTCACTTCATTTCCATTTAGCATATTTCGCATAGGAGGGTGCTGGCATGTCATTGAAATGCTTAGTTTAAAGTAGCAGGGTATAGGAAAAAAAGCATTAAATATTTTAGTTGTCATATATCGTAGACATGAATCAAAATAGGATGGCGTTAGTTTGAGTTACAAATAATCTCAAAAAGTCTCTGAGATTTCATTGCATTATTTATACAATTAAATATTAGATTACGCATTATAAATTATTTTCTTCTTTACTTTCTGAAACAATACGTATTAATTACTTCGCGAGCTAGTATTCTGCATCGCCATATTCAACAAAGAAGATAAATTTACTAATTAGATTAATTTGCCAAGACAGCTGCGACTTCTAATGAAAGAGAAAATATTGAAATCTTACTACAAACATCATTGAATAATTTGATACAACGATAGATCAGCTCAACAATTTTAGACAATTATTCTTTCGATGACAATTTCATCCTACTAATGCATCAAAGTGAAACGTTGTTTATTTATCTATCACTTAATCATTGAGACAGTAGAGTTGACAATCCACCACATTCACTACATTAAAAATAGCAGTGCCAAGCATTAAATACATTATTTTTGATTCCAAAAATTCATGAAAGCTATTCCGATCATTATCATCTGCGAACGACTTTAATCAACCGAGATAATAATTAAAAACTCTGAAAACGCTAATTTTCGCACCCATTTTTCCAAGTGGAAACAGTCTCGGGAGTCGCTGAAGATCAAAATATTTTATTTAAAAAAGTGTTGCCACTGCTCGCTTTCAAATCTTAGACTTTGTTAATAAAAAATTTGTAAGTTTTACAAAATATGAAATAAAAATAGTATTGCGAAACTTTAAACATATTATTATTGTTATATCAGGTCATATTCTGACGTTGAAAAAAAGCAGGCGATTGAATGTTACATCATTGTAGGTCGAAAATATTTCGATAATGTCAGCATTTGAAACAAATAGCTGCTGTTAGCAACTCTTTGTTCCAGGTTAATATAATTGACGCGATATATTAATACCACGTTAATTCTTTTATTGGTATTGAGAAATTGCTGTTATATTACTTAAAATTTAAAATATGACGTCATATGTATTAATATGAAACGTCAAAAGTTTTTGTTTCCTGGTTTGACAATAAAAAAGTTATTATTGCTTCGGAAGAATTAACCGATTTTATTCCTACTGAAATGTTTCTACACATTTGCATTTCAGGAGTACATAGAACTTATAAATTCTGCTTTGGCCTGCAGCCCGTTAGACACGCTATAAATTGGATACATAACTGAGACTCGTGCGTGAAATTACAGTGTTAGTATAACACAATATTTATTATCCAAAAGGAATTATCGCATATATTAAATAAAACATTTCGCTTTGAATTTTTGCTAAACATCCATACAGTAAATGCGCCGCGAGATACGTGGACTTACGAAATGTTAATGTTTCAAATACATTGTTCAGGCATCGAAGGATACGAGGATAAATAATGTTATTTATATCTACATTTATTTATATGTAAAATATATAGTGCTATTTTAGATATTTTATATATATTAAACTTCCTTCTGAATATATAAATTAATGAATGATAGACTAGAAGAGAAACACGCTAATGTGACAATCAAAATCGTAAAAACAACCTTGTATTTAGCGTAGGTATAATGAAACACTCAATCGATTTCGAGGGCAGCTAAAGGTCCCTCCTCATCAGGAGAAAGAAATACGTAGAAAGAAGAAAATAAAGGAGAAGGAGTCACAGAAACAGAAACAGTGTTTCTATAACAATATTATTAAACAAATAATAATATTGTTCGTTTAATAATATTGTTATTGTGATAATATTGTAATAATGTTGTCTTATAATATTGTAATAATAATAATAATATTGTATTGTAACAATAATAATTTATTTGTTTAATAATATTATCTTCAATGATAATATATTTATTTCATAATATTGTATTGTATCATAATAATATTGTTAATAATATTATTATATTGTATTGCAATATTATTACAATAAAAATATTGTATTGTAGTAATATTGTTATAATAATAATATTGTTAGTATAATAATATTGCTATTGTAATAATATTGTATTGTAATAATATTGTTAATGTAACAATATTGTTATTTTAATAATATTGTATTGTAATAATATTGTAATAATATTGCTAATTAAAATTCTTTTATAGTTTCTGTTAATGCTTTGACGTGCAGCCACTCGAGAGCCTATGAATTATTTACTGCCAGCATAGAAGAACCAGAATGCAAATTCAAGTCAGTGCAATGTGAAAATCTGGATCAAGTAGCAAATAGTACATGTGGTACGTGTGAAGAGAACTGTGTTAGTATGGGTTATTACTCAGTCAACAGCAAAGATCTTGCTCAAAAAGACAGTTCCATCATATTTTACCTTAAAACAACTGGTGAAGATCCTTACTGTTTGGAGAAACAAGCACAGACGTAAATGAAAACCAATAAAATAACTGTTAAGTTCAGATGAAATTGAAAAGTAATAAAATATTTGCAATTTAATTTGAATGATTTCATTTTGTTCTCAAGATGCTTATTTCTTTCACAAGCTTCTGTCAAATGCATTTTACATGTGTTAAACCTGAATGCATGAACCATGCGCTTTAATAATTGGAAAGTTTCAGCTCTTATTGCTCATTCACTTCATATGAAAATATTTCCTGAATGTCAAAAGTACATAACAGTGTCTTTCTTAAGGAATTATGCAATTTTGGTAGTTAAATCCTAGTAGCTTAACATCCATTATTTTATTAAAAAGGAATGATTAATATTTAGTCACATTAACGAAAATAGATGAAATACAGTTTTTTGTCATAAAGTTCAGAAAGGCAATTTGGATCATAATGGATGTCATTTTAAATATAAAAGAATTTGAAATTTTTACGAATTTCGATAAATATAGAAAGGTTTAAGAAAATCAAATTTATCACTGAATAAAGGCTTTGTAATAATTTTAGCTGAAAAATGATCCCAAATTAATGACCTCAGATGAGCAATCAAAATGCTGAATTTAATCAAAATTCAAGATTTTAAATGCTCAGAGAACAGATATTTGCCTTTTTTGCTTATTTCCTGGAGAGACATTGGATTTCTATTGGTTATTCATACACTATTATCAACCTATCATATTTAGAAGATAACAGTTTCTGGAGATTACTAAGGTAAGTTCAAAACGCGGTGAATTACGGACAATTCTCTAGTGTAAGAGCAGTAAAAAGGAGAAAAGTTTTAGAAGTTTGCAATAAAATCTTACGAAAACCCTTAGCTTCAAACCTTAGCAGGATATATTATTCCTCTAATACACAGCATTAGAATCTATAATTTTCTAGATTTCTTGTGTTTGCGTAAAATATTGAATAAATTTATTTTACTATATTCTACTACGCGACTTAAATGTAAAAAATCTGATGTATGACGTGACTTCCTTGTGCGGAATAACATACGCAATTTTCCTGCATTTTATTTAAACATATTGAATTAACAGTTAACGAATTTTGAATTAAATCTACTTCGGCGATAGCGCATAAACCACAATAAAATAAATGCATTCTAAAGTTCACTATATTTATTTACCATAGCGACACTTCGACACTCACATTGATTTTTAAACTCAGAGCGGACAAAAATTATATCATCTGCAAAATTGCCACCAGTTCTATTCAAATACAATAATAAATCTAAAACGATGTATGAAAGAAATTAAACAATTAAAAAAGAAACTTTTTCATAGACGATTCAGTGCCGCTTACCTAATGCGCATGCGCTACTAATTAATTCAATTCTCACTTTGCAGCAAGTCAAAAATACATAAACATTGAATATATTTTCATTAAAAATTGAAAAATATAGAAAAACATAAAACACCAAGTAGAGTTAAAACAATTAAAAAAGCAATTTTTATAATTAAAATTACATTTTCTACGTAAGAACAAGCTAATAACTTAAATGATAATTCCAGAATGAATTAACCATAATTTAATTCACAATAATAAAATAAGACACTAATTTGTTGTTGGGAAGCTTAGTTTCTCTAGATTGTCAACAAGTCCACTATTCTTCTATTTTTCAAATGCAAACACATATGGCTGCCATGCTAAACAAAAATTAGACTTTGCCGCACTTAAAAAACTTTTAAATTGTTGATAATTCCACGATTATAGCATTGAGGTTAAGGCATATAAAAACCTTAACCGCAAGATAAGAGCAACATACTTCAATCATTTTTAAACCAAAAATGCCGTTTATTACCGCCTAACCGTGGCCTTCCTTGTCCTATAGGCGTATACAACTGTCCATTCGACCTTTGGCTATAGCCTGATAAACGCGTACTTTCTGAAACTCTCCTGCTTTCAAACTTTACGGGGAGCTCAACCCAACTCTCCGGTTTTTGAATTCGTAAAAATCCTAGATGTGAGGTGATAACTTAGGTAGTATAATTTGAATGACTTCTTCATCGGGCTTTATCCCATAGAATAAATTTACCAATTATATTTTTCGTAATATAAATTTCATTAGTTCTTCGATCTTAATCGGGTAGCTGCTAAATAATTTAATTTCTAATTTCGCCTTTTCTTTCACCACGGGACACGTTTTTATCAGTTCGGTTTTAAATAATTCGAGTTTCTAACTCTCGTTGCCTCGTCCTTCGTCTTCGCCATAGCAAGTACAGCACTTGCTATGGCGAAAGTTTTGTATTTTCAGAACTATATAAAGCAACAGATGCGAGTCCAGACGTTCAAAAAAAAAAAAAAAAAAAAAAATGTGATTACGGAACTTCATCGACCGACACTCCGATCGTATCCACGATGTGTCAAAACATTTAAAGTAACAACTGAAAGATGAAAGGATGTAAAAGGCACTTAATTTAAAACTAAGCAGAGCAGAATGCATACCTGATGCTTACAAATCAGCTAACCGCTTGCGGCGAGATAACGTAAACTTCAAATGTAAACTTCAAATGTAAGTCTAAATTCAAATAAGCTAGTAGCCAAAAGTTATAGAGATCAATTAACGCGAAGTTAACTTCAAAACTTAGCCGGTGTGTATATTCAACTACCAGCAGTTGTAATTCAATTTCGAAGATTATAAATCTTATCTAAGCTAGCAAACCTAGCAACGTGGCCTCGATATGCTGAATTCACTTTGTCTTACAATCCAAATCTTTAACTTAAACACACGCGAACTAATTTGCATTCCGGCCGGAAAACGAAAGTTAGAAATGACAGAAAAGCTCCAAAACATAAAATAATTACTTAATTTACATAAAGGAATCTTATACTTTGATAAATTACTACTACGACATTGGGGCCCACCAGCGGCTGAGCGAAAGTCGCTGAACACTGGTAGTTCGGTCCGAGGTTCGAATCCCGCGAACGGGGGCGTTTTCGTGGTTTTCCCCATATGTAACGTGTATACGAGTCAGTTTCCTTTAGAAAGTCTTCCACGAAGGCATCCCTCCCCTTAGGCAGATAGCCCTAGTGTGCTTTGCCATAATTAAGTACACCTACTACGACATTTTTGTAGAATACATACACTAAAATATATACATTTAACCCAAATGTTTTCGCCTATATGAGCTAGTATCTCCCCCATCTGAGGCTTTTTCACTACTGAGCTCTAAAACATAGTATTTGTGGATTTAAATATCCAAAAATCTGAAAAATTTGGACTTAATTTCAGAAAGAAAGATTTTGAATCCAAGAAACAATAAATAAAACGAAATGTCAAAGTACACTCAACAAAATAATATAATAGAATTCCCCTTTAATTGAATAATTTGGATAAATTTATTATTACTTAATAATTAGTAATTTTGAAAAATCTGCGGTTCTGAAATCTCATCGATTTTAGACAGATGCAAGTTGTTTTCAGCACATTTTATTTGTGAAAGTTGCAATAAATAAAGCAGAATCTAAGGAATGAGGTAATCCTTTCATGATACAGGTATTTTTTGAACATATAAAACTTAAAAAAAAAAGTAAAAAACGAGCAAAATGTTTTGGCTAAGAAAATTTTCAAATATAACATTAGGGCAACTTTTACATATTCGACACATATAAAAATATTGGTACTCTTCTGTTATCAAGACAGAATAAATATATATATACATTGTAAGCATATGTATATGCCTGTATGTGCTACACACACATACATACGTAAAGAATGTACACATGCATACATGAGCACCAACATTTATAAATTCATGCATATACACATACATTTCTGAATCCGGTCCTGATAACAGAAGAGTACCAAAATATTATTAAAAATTTTTAAAAATTTAGTTTATAGGCACTTAGAGGTGAATAGTAATATTTTGTAGATATTTCTTAGAAATGAATAATAAAAAACTGTAATCTTATATTTTTAATGAACGGTAGTAAACTGATATCTTATATTTTTAATGAACGGTAGTAAACTGATATCTTATATTTTTAATGAACGGTTTCTTAGTATTTTCAATTTAATGAAAATTTGTATATATTTGCAAATCCAATACAGCAATTCAGGTGTGTTTATTAGGATAAAAGACACATTCTTTGACATAAAAATTAAAACCATGAATATATCTGATAGCGTGCTTCGATCGATATGACAAACTGAATTTGAAGTATTGAAATTTTTCAAACAAGGAAAAAATTGTGATATGTGATTTGTTGACACGGTAAAAAACTAAATAAGCAAAATGCAGGAAAACTAAAAATTCATCTGAATACATTTTAAAAAGCAGCAGGTGCACACAGTAAAAGATAGTTAAAAGCAGATGTTAAAATGAAAACCATACAGAATAACACATTTTCAATACTACTTTCACTTACAAGATTAAATCGCAGAGGGATGGCAGTGTTGTTAACGTTGGTTACTTTGGTAATAATAATCAGTATTGTAAAAGGAAGAGCTATGCTGGATGCTGTCCGAGGTATGATTTAAAATATATAGTGATCTCACATTTAAGTGCATATATTAAGTACCAATTATTATATATATTATCAATATGCATATTTACTTTTAACATTGCTTGCATTCCATTATCTAGTATTCATGTTTAATTGATTACGTAGAAATGCAATAATACAATGTGAAGTTAAATGCATAATGAATTATATAATTAATCAAAAGTAAATAATGAAAATCCATGGAATGTAGAAAATTGTGTTCGTAAATGCTCAAGATACTTGAAAGAAACCGACAAAATGTCCGACTCTATGTCTTCTAGGAGAAACATGTGGAGTCTTGTTAATAAAAATATTCGCTAGCAACCCTAGAATAATATTAAGAATAATAGCAATAATAAAAATAGAAATGAATAACTTTATCATAGATTTTATAAAAATGCGTGCAGTTAGTGCTGATGTCATCGGATATTTAACTTTAGCGCCTGCAGCAAAGCAAACTTAGCTTCTGTTATGGCGTCACATGTTTGTCTAACACCAGGTTTTTCAAAAGAACAAAGCAAGAAGTGATATCTGAATTCCGAATATTCATGTTTTCCGGCAACCAGCCACAAGACAGAGCAGATTTCACGTTTCTGATCGTTTTACTTAAAACTATCATCCATTCTTTATCAAATCCATTGGCCTAATAGTAATCTCCAATTAACCAGGATGCGAAACGTATAGCAAAAGAAATTCAAAAGCAGAGTAAACAAACTTAGTCGAGAAAAAAAATCCAAAGGGTTTCAGATTTTAAATTATGTCCAAAGCGGCGTTTTTTTTTTTTAACTTTTTGTGTGTTACCTTTATTTATTAAATATCATGTTCTTCGCACTTAAACCACAAAATTCATTTCAAGTGCAATATCTCAAAATAATTTTAAATTGAGCATATCTTTAGAACTTCCGATACACAGTCTCACGCGCTGGAGATAAAAATATTTTTCCGTGCAGTTTTGCCATTGCTCGCTTTGAAATCCTTGAGTTTGTTAATCAGAAATTCGTTAAAGTTTTACAAAATATGAAACCGGTAATAAAACAAATTCCAAATTTCAAATTTGTGCTTCCAGACGCCCATATTCGCAGTAGGATTACGTTATTCAGAATTGAATGACTCTAGGTACCGTTGTTTAATATGAATGCAAGAAAAAGATATACGTTAATGCTGATTCTTCATTATTTAATTTCTTCAAATATAATACAGGGTGGCAACAGTTTGAAAAGTGAAATAGACATTCAGATTCGAAGCAAAATCGCAATGAGGTTAAAAGCGGTGGTCATTTTATTATGGAGACACCTAATAGGTGGCCAGAGATTGTCTATGACGTCGATGACCACCTATTACTCCTTATGAAGCGACACATAGAGTTTATATCCATGCTTTTTCTGGGATTCGAATGGTCCTTTGGTACAGCAGTCACTAACTACTTTCCTATCTGGGTGGCTTAAAATTAGTTTTAAAATATAAGCTCGTGAAATTTGCGAGCAATGCAAGAAACTGCGGTAAATTTTATGCAGGAATGCAGAATTTTGCTGAAATGCTTCTAAAGCAAAAAACAGGAAAATACGTTTCCTAGATAGTCGCAGCTGCCGAGGATTGCACGAAGCTGAGTCTTCGCAATTCTCTGGTGTTTTTTCAAAGCGAAAAACAGATTGCTATGTGCTTCGAAAGAAGAACAGCGCAAAAAACTTACAAAATGATTTGAAGGAGAATGAGCTTTGTCTTCAAATGTATCATGTAATCCTTAATTAATAATTCAAATTTTTATTTTAAATTTCTAAAATAACTTTTCTTTTCATTTGTTGATAAAATTTACAGATTTCTGATAAATACTCTAAAAAACAATTGAATTGCCTTTTTTTATTTCTCTGCTTACATTTTTTTTAAAAAAAGGCATTTGAAACTTTTAAATTCTCATTGCGTATGCTTTATAATAATCCTCTGATTCTTTAATTGAAATCTGTGTTGCAACTAGCTGAGTTACTATTTGAATATTCATGCACAAAAACGAAACTGCATAAATACAATGCATACAAAGGAAAACTGATTTCAGATAAAATCATGTACAAACTATGTTAATTTTTTTATCTGATTCCAGGATCATATAAAGCAGAAAACGGTGTCATTTGCGAAGACAATCTGGGTTGCTTCGGTAATAAACCTCCGTATAATCATATGATGTTACCAGATCCTGCAGAAGAGATTGGTACAGAATTTCGACTTTTCCGTCTGAGACAGCAAGAAATTCCACTGTATATTACGAACAGAAATTTCTCATTATGGGCTGAGAATGAAAATACCTTTGAACAAAACTTAAGGACAGTATTCATCATACACGGTTTTAGAGATGGCAATGCAAAGTGGCCGCTAGTTAGTAAATATTTGCACTTCTATTTACTGATAATTCTTATGTATTGTTATTTAGTAAAAATAGAATGAAATGAATTATAATATCTAAAATATACAACATAGATACATTTTATAAATAAGTTAAATGTACAAGGAATCTAAAATACCAGAAAAAGTAAAAATTCATTAATTTGAAAAATGTAGACGGTAGTGGCATGAATTGATTTTCACATAAATGCACAGAAAGACATGGTTGTTTTTTAAACATTGAAATACTTTATTACAAGATGAAATACATCTTTATTTAAAATTACAAGGTACTTTTCTCTCCTTAATGCATGTCTTCAAAGTGTAATTGAAAGTACTCCCGATTGACAAATGAAAGGTTCGCAGTTTGAACTCTGGAGAAGGTATAAGGTATTTCTCCCGCCTTCTTAGCGTGTCTTCGTGGTGTAGTGGTCAGCACATTCGAATCGTATTCGAGAGGTCCGTAATTCGAGTCCTGGAGAGGGCATTGCTCATTTTCCCTCTCTTCTGCTTCGAAATAACCTAATGTCTCTATAGTCGAACTAAAAAAAGGTGGTGGATGATGATTCACCACCACGGGGATTTGGCTAGTGAGTACCCTAATCCCCAGTTGTCCTTTGAAAGGGAGTACATAAGGTATTTTCCTTATTTTTAGCGTGCCTTCTTGGTGTAGTGGTCAGCACTCTCGGCGCGTATTCGAGAGGTCCGTGGTTCGAATCCCCACGAGAGTATTGCTCATTTTTCATTTCTCCTGCTTTCAAAAAATACCTAATTTCTCTATAAAGGCACTGCGGATTTCTTCGGTTTTCTACCTCAGAAAATTTCCAGATGCTCTGCAGTGGCACCAGAACTAAAAGATGGTGTACGATAATTCGTCACTGTCAGTATTGGGCGGTTTCCCAATAGTCCCACCTTCTCAGTAGCTCTTTAAATAGGGAAGAATATAAGGTATATTTTCCTTCATTACCTTAAGCTTAGATAGGATTTTGGACAAGATTTTGGCTACTCAACTTAAAAACCTACTAGACCATCCTAGAGATAGTTATTGCCTTTCGTTTGACTATTGGATACCGCTGCCTTTTGGTTAACCTCTTTCGATTTGGAATTGTCTTGATTTGGATCGTACACTTTCTGTGATGACACATTTTTGGACCCTTCTACGTTGCCTCCTATTTCGCATTCTCTAGCACTACTCTTTTCACCTAATATTGACAAAAGCAGAATTACTTGCCGATTTGACGAAATTTGGAACGTTTTTATGGAACATTCTAAATTTTAACATTTTCGTTTCTTTTTTCTTTTTTCTAATTTTAAATTTCCTTGTTTCTACTTTTGGTATATTATGTTTGTATTTTGTATTACATGACAGTTTTGCTTATATGGCATTCGCTTTATTTGTGTCTGAAATATTTTGTCCCCAGGCTTTTTCATATGAAATAAAATTTACCTACTTATCATGTAAAACTAACATATCTGATTTTAAAAGTTGTAGGAGATTTAAAAATTTGTAGGAGATGTCAAATTTCCTATGTGCTGTACTACAGATTTGCTATATAGCACATAGGAAGAGCCATCTAAGTAAATAGGCTGAATATTTTGACTGAAGTACTATGACGTGTTAATTTACTTGAATCACATTATTATATTTAACATAATGTTGTACATAAAGAGGCAAGAAAATTGTAGAGTTATAGAAACATTTTTAAATGTTTTGAAATTTTACCAGCCCATGCTTTTTAAGGACAACAAGATCATTTAATGTACATACTTCCCATAGACACTTTTTTAATACCTTTTTTCGGAAAATACGTAAACATGCCCTCTGTCAAATTTTCAGTGTTATATCATTTTTTAAATGTGCTATTTCTAAAGTCATACTAAAATTCTTAGTTAGTATTTTAATAAATGGAATAGTAATGATCATCTGACTATTTCAAGTATTTTCAAAATATTTTTAGTAGTGCATAAGTATGTACTACATTTTAAGAGGAACAAAACTAAATTCTAGTATATAGTATCTTAATTACTTTAAAATTATTATAGAGATCTGCTTAAGTATAAATGTAAGTAACTATAAAATTCATTTATTTATCTTTCAGCTAATAAAGGATGCGTTATTAGAAAAAGGAAACTTCAATGTTTTCATAGTTGACTGGTCAAAAGGAGCAGCTGCGGAAACGTACACTTTTCATGACTATGATAAAGTTGTATCTAATACAAGGATAGTCGGAGCTGAAGTTGGACTTTTCATCCATTATTTAATGGTATGAATTTACATTAGTTGAACTATACATTTATTTGAATTAGTGTGTTTTATCTAACTTCAAAATTTTAAAAGTTTTCCTTTAGCATAAATATGAAACTTCTGCTGGAAATCTAAAATATTTTATGATTTTATATCGAATACTAGTTATTATGGTCATAATTTATAATATACCTTACAATAATTAATTCCCAGTTACTAAATTAAATAGAATGAAAAGAGGTTTTATTCGGGTAATAATATTTTAAATAAAATTATTACTCTTATTTGTCAGTCTACTTAGTACCAGTAAATTTCCATCAAAGTATATCAAGTAATATTCTTACCTGAAGATTGAACACATTTGGCTTTAAATACATTTACTTATTTTAGTATTGAATATACAACCTTTATGACAAAACAAAAGTACAGTTAAATCTATATGGACCATTCTTGCTTTAACGCTTTGCTAAGTCATTCTTGCTTGATTGATAACCGAGCATCACATATGAACATCATAAGCCTTATTATATCCTCTCTCCGTAAAGCAAGTTACACTTCATTCGTCAGTGTCATTTGCTATTCGTGTGTTAAATTCGAGTACACGACACATTCTTCAATGCCAAAAGCATAGCTAAGTTATAGAGTTTGACTTGCTTTCGGACCATATACTTAGAAGATTCTAGCTAATTTGGTTGTTCTTGGCAACTAGAATACTGTAGCGACTAATCGCTTACTTCTAAAGCTGCAAGAAAGAGTCCAAAGAAGAGTTAAATTTCCCTTTTATTTTACGAAGCATTTACAGTTGATCCCTTTCCGACTTACAGGAAGCCTCCACTTGGGCTTTTAACTTAGGATGGAAAGTAAGAAACTAATCTAATGCTAACTAACTAAAAACTACTCGAAGCTGCACAGAAATAACTAACAGAGTTAGCCTTTATTTAAAGCTCACCGACGAATACTAGCAGGCACGTAACAATGCAGCCGAATGTGGTAAAATTTGGTTTAAAGCAACGACATGGCCAGAAGGCAGAACACGCTTTACTAAGAGCTTATATGATCTTCTACGGAAGTGACCGAGATTTCTCCTTAAATACTGGTTCTACCTTATTTACATAAAACGCGAATCTGAAAACTCCTTCTGGCAGGTGAGAAAGAAGAAAATAAGGACATCTGTTCAAAATTAAAAATAACTGTTAGAAAATTAAAATAACCCTTACGAACTACGATATCCAAATCCTAACAAACGTTAAGCGAATTATCGTTGCGTCTGAAACAACTACAGAAACTTGAAAAGATTTAAAACAACCTTTTTATACAACAAAGCTTAGAACTTAAAGGCAGTTCTCGTGTTTACAGAAACCAATTACCACTTATGGCGGTGCAACTGAAGCGATAGTCAAATTTAAATCAAAACGTAAACTTGCAGGCAAAGACGACAAAATTAAACTTAAATTGAAGTTAAGTTGAAACTCTATCCCGTGTAACAATTTAAATGTTGACAGCAAATAAAGCAACGCCGAATAATTACAAAATTAACCGGAATGGAAAACACCTGGTCTCACAGAGGCAGAAACACGCTCTGTCTTAAGGTCCAGAAATCACAGTTTAAACACACATTAACATTTCTAGAGAGAAACGGAAACGAGAAGTTGGAGTAAAAGCTGAAATTATAAATAACTGATTAATTTAAACAATAATTCTTAGAAATTGAACAACAATAAATTATTGCATTAATTGTTCATGTTTTATCCATTTTCCTATTTTTTAGAATGATTTAGCTGTCAGGTTTTAGGTTCAGCCTACACGGACATTCTCTTTCAGAAAAAATATCAGTACGATGGAAACTTTTTGTAGCATTCTGTAATTATGTGCATAAATTAATCCACTTTACGAGAAAGTATACTGCTTTCTATCAAAAATAAAATACACTTCGCCAATATTATAAAATTATTGTTATTTATAAAATTCGAGCTGAAGTTTGGAAAAAATTATTAAATAATAACAAAGTAGTAGTTATTTTAACAAACGGCTAATTAAGCTTTTCAAATTAAACAAAACTAAACTAATTGTATTCATAAAAATTCTTAAGTTGACAATTGTTCTTACACATTTATTCATCTTTTAGGATGTGAAAAATCTCGATCCTCAAAATATCCATATTATTGGCCACAGCCTTGGTTCACATATCTCAGGATTTGCCTCTAAGTGGATTCAACAAAATGACACAAAAGTTATTGGTGGGATAACAGGTAATAATATTTTTTAATTTAGTTCTTTATTCGATATTTATTTCTATATTAAATTTTTGTACGGTCCCCAATTTTGATATCATATTTTAAAATTAAATATCCGAGTCATTTGCTTATAGGAGCAACACTTCTTGGATTTGATTTCTTTTAAATTTCCTTAATATCGGGAAGTATAAAATGTAGGATTGCAAAGTTTTTACCGTATTGAATTTTCTTAATTTAAAAATGCAAAATATGAATATTTGCGACATTTAAAACATTTATGCATTGGAAGTGTACGTCTACAATCCACGCTTACGAAATTAAAAGATGTGTAATGACTTTAGTGGAACTGATGTATTAAGATACACAGTCTAAGTCGCAAGTGCTTTACGTATTTCACATTATAAATTCATTTAACAAAAGTGTTCACTTCATGGTTCAGTCCAGGATAATCCATATTTTCTTTCCCGAGCTCTTGGTAATGTCATAAACATACAACCGGACAAAACGTATTTTCCATCGCAATGTAGCCTTATAATTTCTAAACTTAGAAAAGTGATTTTCTAGAACAATCAGAAAAGATGGTAGTTTTTTATTCGAAGTTTGAATAAAATGGAATATTTAACACGAATTATTGGATTTTTATTAAGTGGGCAATTCCAGTTTGATTTTTCAAATCCTTCTAATCAGAGATAAAGTTTTTGAAGTAAGACGATATATTAATGCATACGACATGAAAAGTTTTCATATGTAGTATTATGAACAGAATATTTTCTTTCATTTGTAAAATTTTTCCAATATGTTCTTTGAGAAGTCATTTCCTTGTTTCCTTTTTCGTTTTCTGTATAAGCTTCTAATTGTCAATATTCTATTCCTAACAGCCTAGAATCCTGAAAGCCTGCCAGCAAATGACTTACAAGATTGATAATTTGATCTGGTGAAAATCCTGATCACATTTGATCACTAAAGACTTCAGAGGCTTGATGCTTAGTAACACGCTATCTTCTCCTTTCCAAAATTTAAATAAATAATCCTCTGGGGTTTAAGAATTAATTCATCCATTTTGAATTAATTCCAGTGGGAAAAATTGTGTTGGGTAACAAATATAGAAAATCAGAAATTACAAACTTAAAATCAGAAATTACAAACATTCTTCAGAAATTACAAACATAAAATAGCCTCCTAAAAAATACAGAATAATTGCAAAAAAAATATAGAATAGCCTTCAGAAATCAATTCAGTTCGTGAACCAAGGTTTCCTGTATAAAAATTTTAATGTATAAAATAATCAAAAATTTATTATTCATTTATATTAGAAAATAATTAAACATTCAAATTACTGAATTTTTCCATTTCGCTTAAGCATTGATTAGTAACTTAGATTAAAATGAGCGTATCTAGAAAGTTACTATTAATTCAAATTAAATAAGGCTTGCTTTATAATAAATGCATAACATGCTTTTGAAATTCTGTTAAATAACGTAGTGTATGATGAACAGGTTTTGTACATCTTTTAGGCCTCGATCCAGCGGGTCCGTGCTTTTATGAATCTCCTCCAACTGCCAGACTTGATAGAACAGATGCTGAATTTGTTGACATTATTCATACAATTTATGCACTGAGTCCTGAGGAAGGTAAGTATGTTTATAACTTTAAATATATCGCTTAGTATTAATACATAAGTTAAATCGAATACAAAAATTTTAAATCACTTTCACACTAAATTTTCATACAAGAAATTGCAGTATTTTATTTAATTTTTGGGTAATATATAACAGCAATCAGGCATTTTCGTAAATCTAACATGTGTGAGGTAAGCTATGCTTGCTGATATCTAAAATGATTACAAAAAAATAAGAATAATACTGGTTATATAAGCCTCAAATTAGATTTTTTTCATATATTTCATCCCTTTCCTCACAAAATTATCTTTAAACCGTAGATGTTTGTAAATTTCACAGTTTTTCCTTTTTTCTGTAATAGGTACGTCTTCATAGATTATTTTGGATTAATGTAGCTAAAACAATTCCACTTACATTTGTATATTACTCTTAGATTTCGTTTCTGAGCAAGTTTTATTTGTAATTACAGTTGTAAAACAACTAACAAAGAAGGTCTTTAAACAAGAAATATTAAATGACAAAGACAACCAAATTAAAATAAAAAAAGAAATAAGTTATATTTGTCAAAATTACCCACAAAATTTCTACAACTAATGGGAAAATATTTGAAAACACTTTTTAGCCAAAATTCATGTTTAGATTTGTGAAATCCAAACACAGTTTTTGCATTGGTTTTCTTATAATGCCTTTTAGTTTGATTTCCAATTTATAAATAAGCCAGAAACGCAATGTTATGAAATGAAAAGACTTTTTTTTTTTTTTAAATGCACCATTAAAGAAGGACTTCAGAAACTATCTAGTGCTAGCTCCTACAGCACTAGGAATTAGGACTGGTACAGCAATATGGCGCAAGCAAAGAATCCTTTATTCAGCTCGCATTTCGTTGCTGAGGTGAACGAAGTTTTAGCTCCTAGGTTACCGCACTTCGCCACGATCACACTCTTATACTCAAAAAGTGCATTCTTTAAATCTAGGCAGGAGATATTAACTTGTTGACAGAATGCTAGGACAAAGATTAAGTAGTTCGAGCCTTGACGACACGAAATGAGTCTATCTTTGTGTTGTAAAAACTTCTTCTACTCTTTCTTAATAGCTATTTCAGTATCTCCTCGTGAAAACGCGATATCGCCAATCACCAGATTTGTTGGATACTTTATTATTTTGATTGGGACTGCAATATGTGCGAGTATTCATCGTTTGCGAGTCGCATTGTTTCCAAAACACATGTTTATTTTCTGGTCCTTTGACCAGCTGGAGCGATGGTTTTCATGATTTTTATTGTACAAGAATATGAGAACAGTTTAGTATATCTAAACTCGATATACATCCGTAATGGAAGTTAAAGATCTAAAATTCAGAATTACCTCTATTTTCAAAAGTAACGTAAATATTCTTCAAATGTTGATATTCTTCAATACAGACTCTCTTATAATTCTTTTAGGTGAAACTTTAGATTTAATTCCACTTCACCATGCACCCTGAGGTGGGGAGAGCCAGGAGGAATGGTCGCCATTAAATACCAAAAAAATCCCCAAAAAAGTTACTGAATTCCTCTGTTATGTCAGTTTCTCTAAAGTCGTTTCCATTTCACGCAGTTTTCCTGTCCCTACAACAAAATTAGCCGCATTATCACTAAAAATGTGTCAGGGTGAACCTAGAGGTGCAGCAAAACTCTGCACTAAAGTAATGAAAATACACTCTTCCACAAATATATATATATATATATGCACCTAGAAGAAATTGAGCCACAATCACGAAATTCGGCAGGAATGCAGGGGCTGGTAAGAGATATGCAAATGATTTAAATTTCAACGCCAATGAGACAAGGGTTGGTGCGTTAAGTGCATATGAGATGCGCGGCTGTGAGAGTTCAAAAGCATGATTGGTCTTGCCGTAAAGCTATTCAAACGAATCTGTCAACTTGAATGGACGGTATTGCGACTAGAGATGCCTTTGAGAGCGCGGGCAGTACGAACAGTTGTCGGAGTTTGAGAAGAGGCGTATACTAGGCCTCAGAGAAGCAAGTTGGTCGAACAGGCGTAGCGGACGCCACCTCGTTCGGAGCGATATGGTAGTTGCTCTGTGTTGGCTACAATATATGACGGAAGGGATAGTCTACGGTCGCGGAAGGTCAGAGCGTCCCAGGAACACAAATGATCGCGAGGATGGCGCAATCATAACAGCGGGCACATTCGCGCCAACACCGTGGCTAGCATCGATTTACTGTCTTCCATGTATCCAGTGATATCAAGGAAACCCCTCGAAGACAATTGGCCGACGCTGATATGTGGTGCCGACTTCCATTAAGATGCCTACAACTGACTCCACATCATAGGCAGTGTCAGCTAGGTTTTTGCGAAACTCGGGCAAGCTGGAGTGTGGCCGAGTGAAGGAGTGTGATCTTCAGCGATGAATCCTGATTCAGTCTCAGTGCTGATGATCAACGCACACGCGTGTGAAGGCGGTCAGTGGTCTGATCCGGGATTTGTTGTCCAACGACATAAGGCGATTACACGAGGTGTGACAGCGTGGGGAGCGAGTTGTTGGGACATATGATCACTTATAGTCGTCCTTCAAGGCATTATTTTAACACCGGTTGTACTGCCTATTCTGTCAAGTCCCCCAGATACTGAGCGACTGTTTCAACAATGTCTTCAAGGATGTGACGTATTCCCGTAACCTGTCAGGTCATCATTACTCTTAGCAATAGGCATGTTTGGAACATGCTTGGAAGGCAACTGCAGCCGTCCCGGAATATTGGTGATTTGGTTGCCCAGCTGCAAACATGATGGTGTGATCTTTCGAAACTTAATTCGATGCTATGCTGAGATTCGGCTTGTATGGCTGCTAGAGGCGGCTATAGTACTTACTGATTTGTAATCTTTTTCATGCCATAACTTCTTAACAAAACGATCTTTTGTTCTGAATTTGTAATCATTAATTTGTCTCATACACTACATACAGGTTAAGTTTCGTGATAATAGTTCGTTTCTTTCTGGGTGCATATATTTTTGTGACACAGTGTATCTGCTGTATAGTTTGAGACTTTTCTGCACTGTTTTAGGCAGTCGTTATATCATTTTCATTTTATAAACACTTCGGTGAAGCAATGGTCTATCGACAAGCGATACGTAACTTGCATTTCGAATCCTGTCGACTCACTGTAGTAGGATAATTGGATATGTCACTATTAAAGACGAAATGTTTATCTGCATCATAATTATCTGGAGATGCTTTAATACGAAGATAGAAGGATGATATTCACAGCAGTTTTATCCAGGAAACGTTTAAATATCTTAACATTTTTTTAAAATTTTCTAAACTATAGAGGTTAATCCTTGGTAAGTTAATATTTCCTTCTCGTTACTATTATGTTTTTTATACCCAAATAAGGTGCTTTCAACAATTGTGTTATTATTTTCTTCATTGTCCCTTTCTTCGAAATCAGAATCAGAAGTTTTTAAATCCAGAGTAGTTTGCTGCTTATTCATTCGATTTCATTAATTTTGATCTTTTTTAAAGAAGATTCCCAGACTATCGATATTTATCTTAAATCGGGAAACATTATCAACAAATGAAAAGAACACACATTTAGTGATTATAATGAATATTTTAATTATTATATAAGGTTTACGTGATATACACACAAAAAACAACAAAACAAAAACACTTATATTTTTCAAATCTTTCTGTATTTTGTCATGCTAATCTACTCCCAAGTACACAGCAATATATTTTCTCTTAAAAAAATCAGACAGTCGCCAAGATTCGGCATCGCGCAAACCTCGGCAACAGCGGTTATCTACGAAACGCACTCCTCGTTGTTCCTTTTAAAAGTTTTTGGGCCAACTTCTGTATTTCTGCACAAACTTTACTGCACTTTCTTCCATCGCTGACAAACTTCACAATACCACACTTTAAAAATAATTTTAAGGCAAAAAAGGTTTCACGATTTTTTTTTTTTATAAAAACCGTTGAAACTTTCCATATACCAAATGAACACGTACAAAAATGGTAACGTTACTTCACTGAATAACTGTTATGCATGTAATTGCCTGAAGAAATGACATGGTGGTCAGAGTTTGGAAAGTTTTGAAAATTTGGCAGACGTCTACTAAATTGATTGCGATAACACATACGAACACCATTTACTACAGTTACAAACTGTATTTCAGAGGAACAAAATTAAGTCTTTTAAAAGAATGCGAACTAATCAATCTTCTAATTTGTGAATAAACTTGAAAACTTGTTCAAATGCTCATAGCTATCACTTTGTTTTCACTGAGTTTCTTCAGTTATTTTCCAGAGATTTTCCTCTATTTACCATTTAGGATAATTTGCTGCTTTTTTTATTTCCCAAGTATTAAAATTAAATGCCTAAAACAATGATAAGGACATTCAGATCATAATATCTCAATGTTATGATCTTGAAGGAGATATTGTCACCACTTGTCACCCGGGACCCTAATTGGGGCAAATCTCGATGTTCTGGCTAGTACCTGTACCTAGACAGACTCGACTGCTGAAATCAGACTTCACAGTGGCTAGAACCATCGTTTATACGGTGGTAGGTTCAGGCTCGGCAGGGCATATGATACTGTCTTGTCTGACTCTTAGTTATAGGAACGCTACATTGTCTAAATCAGCGGTTCTCAGCCGATGCTCTGCATACCAATGGTGGTACGCAAGAGAAAAATTGGTGGTTCGCAAAGAAACAAAGTATGTTTAACTGTTAAATTAAAAAATCTTGTGAAGAAAAATAACAATTGATAGAAAATTCCTGTGATTTAACTCTAACTCAAGATTTAAAAAATAACACACTTGTTAACTTTTGTCTGAAAAAAAAAAAAAAAAAAAAAAATTAAAAGCATTTCAAATAAAGCTATTACATTTTTATCACCTTTTTGCACAACCTGTTTGTGTGAACAAGGATTTTCTTCCATGTTTCATTCGAAAAATAAATACAGAAGAAAAAGTGGATCTTAATTTACGGTTAAAACTAAGTGAAATAA